CCGTGTCCTGCATCGACGAGCTTCGCGGGAAGCGCCCCTCCAGCAGGGACGCCAGCTTCTCATCCTCCCCTGCAGACCAAGGCGCCCGGTGAGACCGGCCTGGGCTCCAACCTGGAGCAGCCGGGGGTCTGGGCGAACGGGACACGGGAGATGGAGGGCAGTGCGCGCGCAGGGGACACCCGAGCCCGCACCGCAGGCCTCCCTCGGGAAGCCCACAGCACCCGGGTCCTGCCACGGGGTGAAGGAAGAGCTCCACCGGAGAAGCCCAAAGGACAAAGCCCGATCGGCCTGGGCTAGGGCGAAGCCGGGCAAGCCTGCTCAGAGGCCGGCGGCCCGGTGTGCACAAGCAGGAGTCAGCGGAAGCCAGGGTGACCCGGAGAGAGCAGAAAGGGAGATGGCCAGAAACGAGGGGCGCCTGCGGAAGAAGCCCAGGACTGTGGTGATGAGGCGGCCGTGCATCCGCCAAGAGAAGCTCAAGGGCCCAAGCCCCGTAGCCGGGAAAGAAACCCTGCAGGCTCAAGGAGACCCACTCAGGAGTGGCTGGAATTCAGAAATTCTGGGTAGGTGGGTACATGGGAAGAATGGATAAATTAAAGTGAGACTGTAAGCCAAGCACACACAGCGTACTTCAGATACACCTCTACTGACCGACCCTGGGCCAGGTGCTGGGCCTCCTGAGCCCCTTCTCAAGGCCTACACAGGCTTGTAACGAGCTCCCTCCTTCCATATGCATGTCATTAGAGTCCAGTATCCAGAGGAAACCTAAGAGGAGCCCCACTCTTTCAGATACAATGTGGACGCTTGGGCTTAAGTGTGTGCAGTCAATGAGGCTGCAGGGCTAAGTGGCCCAGCCCAATAATGTGGAAGAGAGACTGTGGTGACACATCAAGGCTCTAGCAGTGCTCTACCGGGTGCTCACAACACAGACTACTTGCTCTTGACATCATCTAAATCACTGGTGAGGCCTTACACTACAATCTGCATCCAGCATGGAGGAGAGAGCTGTCACTTCAAGAACAGGATAGACTTTTGTTGTCAAATTGGGCTTTAATTCCAGCTCTACCAGCTAGCTCACTTGGAGGAACCTGTCTCCTATCAGGATGGCCTACTCCTGTCAAGGAGCCATTTGAAGTTTCCAGGGCAGGCAGCAGCACCCAAGAAGGTGGCAAGGTTATCACCATCTTTTTTCTAGGCCTGCTGGCCTCCACCATTGAACATATCGGAACCTCTCAGCAGTATTCCTGCACAGTACATAAACATACAGTGGAACACCCACAAGCCTGTATGTTAGATAGAACTATGCAGGAAAAACACGTACCTGGAGGATACAGAAGGTGGGAGTGACATGCAAAGATGAAAAGGGGGAATTTAATGCTAATGGTATGCTAAGTTCTGCCTGAGGGTAAAGAAAAGTCACTTGCGGCCCAGAATGAGGGCTATGCTGACACCAGAGGAGGCAAAGACCCTCTCTACTTGCTCAAAACAGCAGCAAAGGTGTTTCCTGGGCACTCACTGTTGCTCAAAATGCAGGTCCTAGATCTACTGACTTGTTACAGCTACTGTGCAGCCTGGTGTGCTCAAGGGGGACTCTGAGCAGTCCTTAGAAATGGGTACTAAGTATTTATTCTCCATGTTTCTGGACAAGAGTCCTGTGGTTCCTACCCAGAGAGCTTCCAAGAGAAGCATCATGTACACAGGGACAACACACAACCTTGGCACAGAGTGGGAACCTGGGGAAACTAACAATTCAGCCAATGATAGTGTTTGCAACTGGTGGCATTCCACACTGAGGGGGCCTATATGTGAGCCTCTGTGTGGCCCACCTGTCAACTTGAGCACAGAAGGAACCAACCAGCAGATCAAACAAGAGGCTCAAGAGCAGGTGTACAGGTCCCTGCAGTGATCTGTTCTGGAAGTGGGCAAGGCTGAGTGACAGGCTGTCCATGAGCAGAAGGGCAGGTGGGGAGCAGGGAGTGTGGGAAGATTCACAGTGGGGAGAGGCAGTGACAAATATCTTCAGATGGACCAGGAGAGGGCCAGTGCTGGTCCTCCTAAGGAGCCCACAGCGGGTCAGCAGGGTGGATGCAAGATGATATGATAACTGTGCTGTAGAAAGCCTCCTTTCCCAGAAAGACAGAGCTGGGGCAAGGGGTCATAAGAAAGAGCTCTGGATTAGGTACAAGCCGAGCACACCAGTGCCGAACACATGTGAAGAGGCAGCCCACTCCCAATTTGTCAGGTGAGGCATAGCCTAAGGAAGAAATCATGGAGAATGCCCAGAACTTGGGCAAAAGAGAGCAAAAAGAAGTACCACTTGACGCCAACACAGCCTGCAGTCTTACCAACTGCTTTCCCCACTCTCCTATCTATAGAAATGACCTTTGGTCAGCTGGGCATGGTGGCTCATGCCTTCAGTTTCAGACACTGGAACAATCACAGCTAAAGGCCAGCCCAGGCAAAAAGTTAGCATGACCACTAGCTGGGTATGGTAGTACACACATCTGTTATCCCAGGCTGGCCTCAGCAAAATGCGAGACCCCATTTGAAAACCAACTTTTAAAAGAGTCTGGAGGCAGCCGGGCACCAGTGGCTCACACCTGTAATCCTAGCTACTCAGGAGGCTGAAATCTGAGGATCAGCGGTTTAAAGCCAGCCTGGGCAGGAAAGTCCCTGTGAGACTCTTATCTCCAATAAACCACCAGAAAACTGGAAGTGGTGCTGTGACTCCAAGTGGTAGAGTGTTAGCCTTGAGTGAAAAAGCTCAGGGACAGTGCCCAGGCCCTGAGTTCAAGCCCCATGACCTACAAAACATGTCTTGAGGAGTGGTTCAGATGGGTAGAGCACATGCCCAGCAACCAATAATATCCTAAATTCAAACCCTAGCATTGCCACACACACACATCCCAACCCTTGTCAATACATTAAGGACCTTGCTACATGCCTGAGTCATTTATACACTGGCTTGTGTCAACAGTTCACGTCATCATCACCCAGAAAGTTCCACTTACTCTGCACTCTAAGTTCAAATTCCCCTAGGCTTCAGTGACGTTCATAGCTCCCGTCAGAGCCCATTTGTGTATGTGTCTTGACACCCACCATATAATTGCTGAGCTGACCATGTACAAACATGTCTTCTTCCCCAGCTGGGCCCCAAACCCAGTCCAGGGTCAGACCAGAGATTCCTGAGATGGTTGAGGGATATGTTTAGGCAGTTGGTTGGCTTCAGGGTAGCTAGAAAGTGAACCTGTTTGGCCCTGGCCTAGTCACTTTAAGTCTTCTTGCTTGAACAAAATACAGTATTCCCTCCATATCATCACTGTAAGTATTACAGGGATCCATGTACATAAACATTCAGTGCTTAACATGTTTTAAATGCTAAGTAGGGGCTTCCTCTGAACAGATGGTGGGGTGAATACAGACAGATAAATAGACAAATGGGCAGCTCTGTAGGAGACAGATATACAAGTTAGCAAGGTGAGGAGCCATGCATGATCAGTAGGCAAGGCCTGTTAGACAAGTCCCAGGCTGGGGTTAGAAGGAAACACAGTTAAAGGTAGGCCAGCAGCTAGAGAAGGTGATGATAAGGCCCCAAAGTGAGTAGGTACAGAGGGAAAGGAAAATCAGAATATGTCCTTGGGTGGGTTGAGGGAGGGGCTGAAAAGGGGTAGCCCAAGAAAGAGGAAAAGAGAACAAGGAGCACTGCCTAGATTGCTGGGAGGAGTTTCATGGAAAAAAACAACACCAATGCCAGCTGAGGTCTTTATGAAAAGAGCTGGTGGTATCCACTAGGAGGGATGCCCTGGAGGCCATTGATGACCTTGGTGAGAGGAGTTTCAGTTTTAGATGTGGAATGAGTTCATCTGCCACAGGCTTAGGAACAGATGGAGACAGGAGGAAGTATGGGTGACCTTTTCAAGAAAATTGGCTATGAAGGGGGAGAGAGAGCGTGCACAGTATCTGAGTGAGGGAGGTTCAAGAGAGAGTAATTTTAGGGTCAGCCTGAATCCAGGCTGCAAAGGAGCAGCCTGGAGAGAAGAGAGCTGACGTGGTGACAAAGATGCTGGTTACCTGTGGGAGGCAGAAGGGATGAATGGGAGGGAACCCAGATAGGAGATGTGAAGTGGGGAGGGGGTAAGCCTGGTGAACCAGAGTGCCCAGTGTACAGGGATAAGTAGACTGGGGAGAGAAATTCTCAAGTTCCAGCAACACATCTCTAGGTTAAGGAAAGGACAACTCGTTTATGTTCATAAACACATGAGATCCCTGGCTATGAAAGCAGAGGGAGTACCCTGCAAACCCAAGTCCACCCAGCCCAGCCCAGCCCCTCCCAGCCCCACGGCAGCCCCTCAGCCCAGCCATACCTACAGACTTGGTGCGTGGAATCCCCTTCCGCAGAGAGCCCGGCAGCTTCTCTGGGCCTGGGAGGCCCTGGCGCTCAAACAATGACTGTGGGGGTCGGGGAGGGGGAACATGGAGGTTCCAGGACACTGGGGACCCTGGGTCTCCATCCAGCCCCACTCATCCTCCTCCTAAGCTGGACATTCAATACCCCATGCACTCCTTTGGACAACACTGGTGTCAGTGGGATCTGGACTCAGGATTTGGGTCTATGTACTCTATAATCACAGAGGATACAACCAAGCAAGGCCTAGGTCATATGGGCAGTGCGGACAGCAACACTGTAGACAGTGGGTATAGCCCGGGTGAAGGAGAGCAGGAGTCCAGAGATGTCAGAGAGAAAGGGCAGGCTTGGGAATATACTGTGTTGTCAGTCCCATAAGGGGATCCAGGTGACTTGAGAGACACAAAAACTACCCTAAGTCAAGGCACCACAAGCTATAGTCACAGAAGTAAAAACCTGCAGGTACTGAACTATGGCCATTCAGAAGGCTGACATTGTCCTACATGTCTCCAAGAGAGGTCATGGGAGCTCCACCCCTCTGGAGAAGGGGCCCAAATGATTGGATTCTTACCTCAGACAAGAGGTACATGAGCCTCTGGTCCCCAAGCCCAGCCCCTACCATCCAAAGACTTGGCTGCTCAAGGCTGGCTTACACTGATCTCAGCAGGGGTGATCCTTCGGCTAGTGGGCCGCTGCTTGACTGTGGCTGCTCTGGAGTCCGCATCTGCAATGTCCGGCCTCAGTGTTGGCTCCGCAGCAGCTGCCAAGATCTCATCCAGCTTCTCTGCACATCGAGGAGACAACCACCTCAAGCCCAGGGCCTGCTCACTGATGCACCCTCTCCTAAACATGTCTGTGGTGCTAACACAGGGGTACCAAGACCCAGCCATCTTCTGCCCTTAAAGAGGACCCCCCTTCCCTGCCAAGTGTTGCTGGGGACACTCCTCCAATAGTGACCACTACGATAAGACTATGGAAGGGCACCAAGATGGAGGACAGACCACTTAGAAACATCTCCCCGACTCGCGCCCATTCCCTTGTGCCTGTTCTCAGCACATGGCCTGTCCCTACCACTTGCCAAGAAAAGCTGTTTCTAGTAGTATCATTGCCCTGGGACAGATCCTGATCTTCAAGCAGGTGGTGTCCACAGAGCTGTCTGAATAATGAATGGTTAAGCTAATTATCAACAAGTGAACAAACAAGGGTAGGGATACTTCCTGAGAACCAAACTTGGGCTGGGGACCTAAAAAGTGGTCCAATACAGCACGGAAGGCCATGGATCCTTCCTCCTTCCCCCTGAGAGAAGGCAGCTGTAGACAGAATGGAAGATGCTTACAAAAAGGAGAAATAGGAGACAGTACTGAAAAGGAATCTCCTCACCGAGGGGCTCCCCTCAACTCCTCTGAAAGCAGTGGGAGCCGAAAAGCAGAGCAGAGTTAGGGTTGGGAGACTCATGTGAAGACTGATGAACAAGGCCCGGGAGGAAAGGTACCAGCAGGCCTCAGGCACACTTGTTTCAAGTCCAATATTTTAAGAATGTTTTGTTTGTTCTTATCAAAGCTATTCTTTTTAAAATGGGTATTTTTATTTATTCAACAATTAACATGTGTCTGAGGGCTGAGAGAGGTATAGTTAGATGGATTCTCCCAAGAGAACAACCACTCTTACCCTAATAGGTCCACTCATCTTTATCCTGGAGCTAACTCGGAGCCAGTGCTCCAGCACGCAGTAGGGATTGGAGGTAGCACCTGTGTCCCCCTGTTCTCATTCAGCAGCTTCAATCTAACCACCAAGTCTCTCACCCATCCCTCAGGCTCTACCTGTCTCCAGGCTCTGCTTAACTCTTGTTTTCTGCCTGGTACGAAGGCCTGAACTCTGGGCTTTCTGCTCTTGCTTGGCTTTTTCACTCAAGGCTGGCACTCACTCTACCACTTCAGCCACGGCTCCAATTCCAGCTTTTGTGCTGGCTAATTGGAAATAAGTGTCTCTCAGATATGTCTGCCTGGGCTAACTTCAAACCTCAATCCTCAGATCTCAGCCTCCTGATAGTGAAAATTATAGGTGTGAGCCACTGGCACCCAGCTCTGCTTAACTCTTGAGAGCTGTGCCTACCTCCGGGGACACTCATCTTAATGCCCTTCCACTCTCAAAGTACCCAGCACTTCTATGGTCAGTATAGACACCTTCTCTTTTAGTTCCAACCTGAAGCTTCTTACCAGCACCTGCTCATTCTACCTGCCACCCGTTTGCCTCCCCAAACAACTTGTGACTTCTCTGAAGAAGAGAAGTTCTATCAGAATTCAGACTATGCATTGAACAACACAGGAGTTTACCAGCAAAACAAGTTCCCAGTACAGAGCAATTCATGGGGCCTAAATATGGCTTTCAACACCACCAGGGGACAGTATGGACCAAGGATTGCTGGTGTGAGGATTATTTTAGATACTTAAAAAAGGAAATGAAGTCCCTTAGGATAGCCAGGTCTGGGCTTCATTCCCACAGAGCAGAGCAGACTGGGACCAAAGAGAGGAGAGCCCTGCATGAGGGACAGATCTGACCCCCCACAGCTCGGAGATGGCCCTTGCATAGTACACAGGAGCCCCACTAATGCACCAGAGGGCCACAACACAACACTCCAGAAAGAACTTGCTTGTCAACTTCTCGAGCAAGGAGAGATGGGTCCTTGGAGGAACCCTTGACATCTGTTTTTAGTACCTGAAAGGCTAACAGGAGACTGAGGTGGGGTTGTGGTGAACTGAGAAATGCACACTGAGGGTGTACACGCACATCCAGGGAAAGTCCAGTGCCTCAAGAGTGACAGAGGGCCGGGTGTGGATGGCTCATGCCTGTCATCCTAGCTACTCAGGAGGTTGACAGCTGAGGACCACAACCCAAAGCCAGCCCAAGCAGCAAAGTCCATGAGACTCTTATCTCCAATTAACCACTCAAAAACTGGAAGTGGTGTTGTGGCTCAAATGGTAGAGTGCTCACCTTAAGCAAAAGAGGCTCAGGGACCGTGCCCAGCCATGAATTCAAGCTCCACAACCAACTTAAAAAAAAGTGGTCTAGGGGCTGGGAAGGTGGCTCAGTGGTAGAGAGCTTGCCTTGCATGCCTGAGGCCCTGGGTTCGATTCCTCAGCACCACATAAGCAAAAAGGAAAAAAAGCCGGAAGTAGCACTGTGGCTCAAGTGGTAGAGCGCTAGCCTTGAGCTGAAGAGCTAGAGCTGAGGGACAGCGCTCAGGCCCAGAGTTCAGGCTCCACAACCGGACCAAAAAAAAAAGTGGTCTGGGACGGTGGCTCAGTGGTAGAGTGCTTGCCTTGCATGCATGAGGCCCTGGATTCTCAGCACCACATAAGCAGAAAAAAAAAAAGCCAGAAGTGGTGCTGTGGCTCAAGTGGTAGAGTGCTAGCCTTGAGCAGAAGAGCTGAGGGACAGCGCCCAGGCCAAGTTCAGGCCCCACAACAGGACCAAAAAAAAAAAAAAAAAAAAAAGTGACAGAGAGGCGCTAAATGTGTGATTCCACACACCTGGGGCTTCCACTGGGCCTAACTTTCTTTCCACCTGGGCCTAACTCCCTTCCTTCAAGAGGCAGAGAAAGCTAAGTGCTAATGCCTATGATCCCAGCTACTCAGGAGGCTGAGATCTGAGGACTGTGGTTCAAAGCCAGCCCAGGCAGGAAAGTCTGTGAGACTCTTATCTCCAATGAGCCACCAGAAAATCAGAAGTGGAGCTGTGGCTCAAGTCATAGAGTTCTAGACTTGAGCAAAAATGTTTAGGGACAACGCCAAGGCCCTGACTTCAAACCCCAGGATTGGCAGGCATATGTGTGCACATGTGCACTCACACACACACAGAGGCAGAGGTAGTAAACAGGCTCCAAGACTTCCTCAGATACTGGACCTTGGGGACCAGGCAGCTCTGTCTACATCCGACATTGTTTTCTATACGGTCAAGGTAGACACACAAGACATATATAGGGAAGAATCTGAAAAGATATGGAGGTAGCCCCCGAAAAGGCTGTGGTGAGGGGGGAAGGAAATGCTAGGCAGGGGAGCTCTAGCTCCCTTACCAGTGCTGTAGAACTCGGCCCCCATGCTCTGATGGTACTGTCAACTCTAGAATTGGCCATGCAACCAGTCAGCATGAGACTGGACACCAACAACTCACAGAGGTAACCCCAGGGGACAGGCGTAAAATTTTAGCAAGGACATACCTGAACACCTAGACATACCTGTCCCAACATGGCCCAGATATCATATGTCTCAAGTGATCTTCATACCCGGGCTCACTTAATCCCCTAACGTCCATGCTGTGCCTCCCTGTGGTCCCAGATGCCCACACCTCTGGGAACTCCCATTCATCCTTCCCAGGGCCACACTGTGCTCGACTGTGGCCCCTCACACACAGGCACCACCTGATAGGGACAAGCAAGCTGGGCTCAGGGACACAACAGATGACTTACCCCCTTTTCTTCTCCGAATGGAGGCTTGGAATTGAGAAACAGAGTAAAGTGGGTAAGAGACACGCTTCATCTCACGGCACCTGAGCCTGTTCTCCACTCTAGTCTCCTTGCCCTCATCCCTTCTATCCCCTATCTCCCAAAAATCAGGCCTCACAAGTCTGCCCCCACCCCTTATTAAACCAAAGCACAAACCTGCCAATGTCTTGAAACCTAAGAGGGAAGAACAACAAGCAGGAACACATGCCTGTGTATACATGCACACACAAGCACACATGTATACATGCATACATGCATACATGCATATACAGAGACATGCATAACTAAACCACATTCTTCTAGCCAAGTGGTTTTTGTCCAGAAAAAAAAAAGATATAATTCTATAAAACCCAAGTTCAGAGACCAATGAAAACCAAGATGGTCACCCATGAGCATTCTGTAGGTTTTTCCCATGCTAGGGATAGAACTCGGGGCCTTAGCAAACACAGGCTTTAAACAGCAGGCAGGACATATATGTCTGGCAGAGAATTCTCTTCCAGACCAACACCAGAGTTAGGGACACGATATGACACCTATCATGAGTTCTCATCACCAAAGAAAAAGGGACCCAGAAACTACAGTGAAGTCCCAATTTCTACTGAAGAAATGGATGAGAAAGGAGTCTAGATCCACCAGACTCCCTGACCTAGGTCTCCAAAACATGACCTCCAAACCTAGTTCAAGTGAAGCCAATGTGCACGTGACACGAGGAGGGGAACAGGTGCTCTGAATTTCTCCCTCTAAGAATTAGTTCTCTTGGGAGGCTATCTCCTCCAGCTTCTTCCCCTCACTTATTCCTCACAGCCACCCAATCTTCATTAGCCTTTGCTCAGCCTTTGCTCACCCACAACACGCTCATCCCTCTTCTTCCTTCTACAGGACCTGGCCTGATCCCCACCAAGCACAAGACGCCGAGCGTGAGCCTCTGAGGCCCGCTTCCCCTTACCTCACATTTTCTTTTCTTTGCAAGTCTTTGGGTCATTTTCTCAATAGACTATGGATCCTAAAGGGCTCTATTAGCTTCTGTTACTGTCAGGATGGGCATGTTCATGCTAGTGGTGCCAACTTGTCTTTTTTTGTGTCTGTCCTGGGGCTTGAACTCAGGGCCTGGGTACTGTCCCTGAGCTTCTTTTGCTCAAGGCTAGCACTCTACCACTGAGCCACAGCACCACTTCTAGCTTTTTCTGTTTATTGTGGTACTGAGGAATCAAACCCAGGGCTTCCTGCATGCTAGGCAAGCACTCTACCACTGAGCCACATTCCCGGCCACCAACATGTCTTATTTCTACATTTTAAAAACACGAATAGTAGACTGTGGGATGGCTCCTCAGGAGCCTGGAGAACCACAATTTTGGCCTGGCTTCTTCAAAGCAGACATCCAGAGGGAACAGGTTAAGAAGTGGGTGCTGCCGGGCGCTGGTGGCTCACGCCTGTAATCCTAGCTACTCAGGAGGCTGAGATCTGAGGATCGCGGTTCAAAGCCAGCCCGGGCAGGAGAGACCATGAGACTCCTATCTCCAATAAAACCACCACAAAACTGGAAGTGGCGCTGTAGCTCAAGTGGTAGAGCGCTCGCCTTGAGCTGAGGGACAGCGCCCAGGCCCAGAGTTCAAGCCCCACGACCGACAAAAAAAAAAGAAGTGGGTGCTAAGTTGGCCTCTCTGGACAGCTGTATTGAGAGGCAGCACAGCTCTGGGCCCCTGGTTGCCTGGCCCTTCTCTAAATATAGTACCATTTAGACCCTTGATCCCACTTCAGCAGTTTTGTCTCTGGGCTCAGACATGTATGCAGAGCTCATGCTGGGCTTCTGTCCTCCTCTAAGTTCTACTCAGGAACAGTCTGATATTTGTGCCCTTCAGTGCAGCAGGGCCTGCAGAGCAAACAGTGAGCCTCTCTTGAGGCTTCTGGAGCAGAAAAGAACATTCCACTCTTCCACTTCTGTTTCTGTAGGCAGAAAGGCTCAGGGCAAAAGGGAGGAGTTCTACTCTTAATACAGCAGAGTATTTATGCCCATGGAATGCAGAATTCAGGCTGCCTAAAGCCTTTGTGCCCACTAGGAGAGTCCTAAACATGGCTATGGTACAGTCTGGCAAGAGACTCCAAGGAACATCCACTGGTCTTGCCTGATGTCCACACAAGTCCAGCTGCCTACCAGTACTGCCTAATTGGTCAGTTTGACAGGTCAGCTCCCTGTGACTAACCTGGGATTTATATGATGCCGGAGCCAGAAGTCAGCTGGTGTCTCTGCTCACTCAGGTAAGCAGGTTTGGCTGAGTTCAGAATCTAGGTAGAGAGGCATCTTGATTCCATGTTTGCCTTCTACCATTGCTGCCCATCACACCATCACTCCCTTTTAAGCCAACTGGCTTCACAAGGGCAAGCAAAGGCGGGCTGGTGCATGCTTTCTCTCTCTCCTTTCTTCTGCTTGTCAATGGCATTCTAAAATTTTATTCTGACATATCTGGATGTAGATGAGTTTTTCTTTCTTTGTGAATGACTTCTGCTTTTTTTTCTAATGGAATTCATATCTTTTTCACTTACATTCTTAGCTATTTACTCTTCAAACACTGCCTTTCATTTTTTTACTCTTTCCCTCTAGATCTTGTACTAAGTAGATGCCAGTCTCTCTTTACTTGTTCTCATATCCTCTACCTGCTCTTCAATATCTACTCTTCTTCCTGAGCAGATTCTGGGTCATCTCCTCTAACTGATCTCATCCACTGCTTCATTTTCAGCTGGGTCTAGGATACTGTGTATCTAAGCCACAGATTTTTTTCATTTGTTTTCTAACTTGTATTTCTTTGTTTTATATTTTCAATTTTAATAACAGTTCTTTTTTTGTCCACCAGTATCATCGATTGAGCTCAAAGCTTCACACTTTTGCTCAGCTTTCTTTCTTTTTTTTTTTTGGGGGGGGTTCCTGTCATGGGGCCTCAACTCTGGGCCTGGGCGCTGTCCCTCAGCTCCTCAGTTCAAGGCTAGCACTCTACCGCTTGAGCCACAGCGCCATTTCCAGCTTTTTTTTCTCTTTGCTTATGTGGTGCTGAGGAATCGAACCCAGGGCCTCATGCATGCAAGGCAAGCTCTCTACCATTGAGCCACCTTCCCAGCCCTTGCTCAGCTTTCTTGCTCATAGCTGACATTCTGCCACTTGAACTACACCTCCAGTTCAGCATTTTGCTGGCTAACTGAACACTGAATTTCATGGACTTTTCTGCCCAAACTGGCTTTACAGTGCTCTAGATCTCAGCTCATGAATAGCTAGGATTATAGGTGGAAGCCCCTAGTACCAGGCTTCAATGACAGTCCTTCAGAAACCCTTTCTAAATGTGATTGCTCTTTTTCTTTTGGCCCTATCCTATTAGTTCATTAGTCTATTAGTTCTCTGATCTTTGTGATAAACATTGTATCTACTGTCTCATATTCTTTTCTGGCTTCTAATTCTTTTGATGCTAATTTTAGTTCCTATGCTTGGTTCTGGCCTTCCCACTTTTTACAGGTCCACAGCCTCATCCCCTCGAGTTGGTGAAGGCTTCAGAACCTGACCTTGCCCTTGGGATCTCCATCACGGCTAGGAAGCATCAGCTTTCTCTCTTCCCCTGGCTTTGATATCCCATTTTACGTTTGAAGCCTAAGGGTTCCTCTTCCTTTCTTTTGACTTCTCTGTGTATTTTTGTCTATGTATTTTTTGTGTGTTATCTATTCAGAATATTTATGGCAAGGAAAAATCTGATCATGTCAACCCAGTCCCTCCCGGAAGCTGTTATGGAAACTAAACTGAAAACTGCAGTCAAAGCTCCTTTTCAGACTAGAACAAGCTCTGTGGGCCAAAACAGGGTCAGAGCTCACTTTGGAAGCAAGGACAGGGTGAGTTCTGTGAGCCAGGGTAAAAGTTCCTTCCACTGGTACAGTGAGAGCAAGGAACTGGGGCTGGGTTTGGACTCAGAATGTGGAAGTGCAGTGAGCCAACAATCACTTGTATGGGAATATACCCACTGTGAGGCTGTTGATGGTCAGGATACAGTCTCTTAATTCTCACAAGCATTAACATTCTCACAATGAGGATATAGTCTATGTATGAGAGCATGCCCATGAAAAGGCTATTGATTGCTATACATGACTGGACATGGTTATACACACAGGACATTCATGACAAAGTTGTTAATGGTCATACATGTCAGGACATGATTGTGTATCTGACATGCCTATGACAAGGTTATTAAATGTCATACATTGGGATATGGTCCCGATGGTTCCTGGGATTGTGCCCATCAAAGTCTGACTCAGTCTTGTTCACCTCTGCGGCTTACAAGGACCCATCCCATGTTGCACAAGACATGCTTACAATGACCCTATGAGGCCAGCAGGCTTGCTTGATGCATGAGCAAACAAACAGAGTAAAATACAACACAAAGATGACCCAAGTAGTGCTTGGCAAGCTGGGAACAGACACCAGGCTGCTCAACCACTATTCTTCCCTCACTTGGATGAAGTGTAAGAACAAAGTCAGAGTGGAGACATGTAGAACCAGGGGTCTCACACTTACACACTTACACACACACACACACACACACACACACACATCTGCAGAAGCCATTTTTTCTCCTCATCCAACAGGCACTGGACCTAACCTTTGACCTGATTCCACATTCGCCAGTCTTTCCTCCCTGTTGTTGGTGCCTGGCTTCAGCCCAACCTCAGTCCCTCTGGCTTCCCACACTGCCTGGGGTCCCCCCCTACCCCGGCCATTCCATCCAGGGTCATCCGCTTCCATCCACAACCACCCCCTGTGCTCACCGAGTTCTTCAAGCTCAGCCGTCATGGACTTGGAGCGCAGGGTCAGCGTGGTGCTGGGGGCTCTCTTGGGAGGAGGTGGGGCTGCAAAGAAGAGGGAGGCCTTGGCCCTCCGGTCCAGCAGCAGGCGGCGCGGCGTGGCCAGGTGCAAGTGCCACTTGCGCTCCACCGCCTGGATCTCCTCGTATTCCCTTGAGGACGAGTCACACTGTGCCAGGATCTTGTTCAGGCTGCGGCTGGATGCAAACTTCTTCATGGCTCCAGGAGCTCCAGGAGCTTGGGGAGCACTGGAGCCAGGATGGCTGAACCTCTGGGGCCCCTGACCAGGGCCTCAGGTGGTGATCAAGAATACCGAAGGGGGACACGGTGCTGGCTGGCTTTGGTATGAGCACCCACCCTGAAGGCTCCTAGGGCCCTGCAAGGGGGCACTGGAGCCATGTGGGGGCTGGGTGGGTCTTCTGCCAGGCTGCCTCCTGCCACCCAGAGTTTCCAGGCCCAGGTACCACTATCCCTTAGGGGACCAGGGTGTGGTTAGGCAAGCCAACAACCCGGGCTGGGCTACTGCAAAGCCTCCTGGGCCCAGGCTGAGCCTCAACTACGTCGGCGCGGGAGAAGACGCTTTTCCTCTTCCCTCAGGTGCCGCCTCCCCCTTCCCCGCACAATAAGCAGCAGCAGCGGCAGCGTCAACCTCACAGTTGCCATGGCAACCCGGCCTCCAGGCAGCTGCTGGCGTAGGGAAGGAGGGCTCAGCCACACCAAGGCTGGAGGATGCCGGGAAGGAGGGGGTGGGAATATGAGGAGGGCAATCTGGGGTCAGGGGTCAGAGGCCTGGCCAGGGACCAATGGATATCCAACTCTAGGGCTCTGGCAGTGTTTCTGGGCTAAAATGCCAACATTTCCTCTAAATTCAGGAATATGAAATTAGGATGTAAACCCAGCAGTTTGAATGACAAGAGAAATGTGGGCTTGAAGTCAAAGGGCTAAGGTCAGGAGCCAAGGGGAGAGTCTTGACAGATCCGGAAGCCTGAGCCCTCACCTCTGCGCCGAGACCCATCCTCTTCAGGCTTCCTGGTCACTGACACAACCTTCATGACCAGGCGGTTGCCGCCCTGACGGATCAGACCCACCACCTGCTTGTGTCCGACCTTCACCACGTTCACCCCATTCACCTAGGACACAGGCAACTGGGTAGGGTGCTTACATGTACCCCCTCAAAGCTTGGGGGTCAGCACCTCCCCTCAGCCTACCCCCACTACAGGTCAGGATATGCCTCACCTCAATAAGGAAGTCTCCAGTACGAAGCCCAGCCCTCCAGGCCACGCCTTCCACATCCACAGACTCCAGGTACTGGAGCGCAGGGAAGGCCGGTGTGGGCGTGAACTCCTCAATAGGGGTCTCTGCTGCAGGGAGGGGGATTAGGAAGCAGGAGCAGGAAGGCACTCACCAGTGTGGTTCAAGTGAGGGAAGCTGTCACACAGCAACCTCCACATGCTTAGCTTGAGAAGCATGTGACTACTGGGACAGTGACCCAAGATGGAGAGGGCAGCAGGCAGACGCACAGTCCAGAACAGCAGTACACATTCCTTTTTCATTCACTTTGGCTAAAAGCCCCTATTCTATTAGGCACCCCAAGCCAAAGGGTAGGAGACAGTGGAGGGTTCAGGAAATGGCTGCCTTATACCCAGACACTGCAAACCAAGACCATCACAACCACAGCATTAGATGGAAGGGGCTGGGACTAAAGACATAGAAAACATTCCCAAAAATACAATCCATTACCTTTGGCTCCCCGGAGCACAAAGCCAAAGCCCTCATGGTCCCGTTTCTGCAGGATGGCCACCTTGTCATCAATGACATAATCACTAGTGGAGAAAAGCACAAAAAGGTAACTTCAGCCCTGCAGGCAACCTGGCACCAGGCGGACCCCACAGGGCCACACAGACACAGGCCATCCTGGGGAAAAGCAGAAGGCAGACATTCTGGACACCTTCTCCTCCCCCTCCACCCATACTGCCAAACCCTGGCCTCCCCCTCCCACGCCTCCCATGCCATAGCCACAGGTCCAGCCCACGTCCTGTCCCCCTTCCCCTCCCTCACTTGTTAATACCTGTGTGAAGTGAGGCTGTCATAGGAGCCAACTGTGTAGTGTCGGAAAAGCCGCTTCGTACGGTCCTCCCGGGTTTCTGGAGCGAGAATCAGGAGCTGAAGTAGTCTTGGCCTCCAGCTGGAGGGACTACCCCTAACTGTGCTGGTCTCAGTCTCTGTACCCTTGTACCAAGATGGAAGTGGGGGGATCCCACATCCTGGGGTTCTGGGTCTATAGGTCCTAAGGTAAGAAGGCTAAGAAGGAAGCATGCAGACAATTCTTGCCTCCTGGAATCAGGACCCAGGAGGGCAGTAGCTGTGGCTCTTTTTTTTGAGTACCTTACAGCTAGACACAAGAGACCAGAAAGACCAGGGCCATCCAGTCAGTGAGCCCTAAAGCTGAGATTATGGTACAGAATGTGCAAGTCTATGTGTGTATGAGCCTCACGCTAGTATATTAATGTTGTATTCATATTTGTGTGTGTGAAAGAGAGACCTGTAGTGCGTGCGACTGCTTCTTCCATACATTATCTGTATGAGCCTAGCATGGTAACATATAAGTGTCCATGTGGGGTGGGAAGGTGGCTCAGTGGTAGAGCGCTTGCCTTGCATGCATGAGGCCCTGGATTCGATTCCTCAGCACCACATAAGCAAAAAGAAAAAAGCCAGAAGTGGCGCTGTGGCTCAAGTGGTAGAGCGCTAGCCTTGAGCTGAAGAGCTGAGGGACAGCGCCCAGGCCCGGAGTTCAGGCCCCACGACCGGACCCAAAAAAAAAAAAAAGTAAATAAGTGTCCATGTACCCACAGCTGTGTGCAAGTGGAGTATTCATACATGTGCATGTATTCTGTGCTATGTGTCCACATGAACTATCATGAAAGCAGCTCTTTTCTCCACTGAATTCCTCACAAGAGCCAAGTTGAAACCTCAGAGTGTACCTAGCTAGAGGCTCTGGTTCTGAATGGGGAAAGAACCTCAAGGTCTGGGTCCCTTTCCCAGAATCCTGTCCTCACCTCTTCTCTGACCCTAAAGTTCTTCATGGCCACTGTGGAGCTGACCAGGGACTGCCTGTCCCCCTCCTCACTGTTGCAGATGTCATCAAAATTTGAAATCATATCCCAGTTCCTCCTATCTCTGGTTCTACTCCCCAGATCTGGGAGGAGTTCCAAGGGAACCCCACCACTGACTCAAATTTCATCCCTCAGAACCTTCTGCTCTCATTCTCTCTTATTGTAGCACTCTCCAAGATTCATTTTCTAGTTCAACAAGGGTTTATTAAATGTCTACTGTGCACTTTTTAGTTTTTCTGGCTCTGAGAATATAGCATAGAAAACAGAGCAAGGATGCAAAAAAAAAAAAAGTTCAGTTACCCACACTCATACCTATAATCACAGTTAATCAGGAGGTAGATAGCAAAAAAATAGAAATTTGAGGCCAGGGGCTGGGAAGGTGGCTCAGTGGTAGAGTGCTTGCCTAGCATGCATGAGGCCCTGGGTTCGATTCCTCAGTACCACATAAGCAGAAAAAGCTGGAAGTGGGGCAGAGGCTCAAGTGGTAGAGCGCTAGGCTACAGCTGAAGAGCTCAGGGACAGCGCCCAGGCCGAGTTCAGGCCCCACAACCGACCGAAAAAAAAAAAAAAAAAAGAAATTTGAGGCCAGCCTGGGCAAAAAGTTTACAAGACATGCCTATAATCTAGAAGCTGAGGTTTGGAAAATAACAGTTCCAGGGTAGTCTCAAAATAAATAAATAAATAAATAAAGTTCATGGGATCCCACCTCAACAGTTTAAAAAAGCTGGGTGTGGTGGTACACAGCTATCTTTCAACTGGTGAAAAACATAAATAAGAGAATCAAGGACTAGGTTAGCCTGGGCAGAAAGTAAAACCCCATCTCAAAAATTATCAGAGAAGGGGCTGGGAAGGTGGCTCAGTGGTAGAGCACTTGCCTTGCATGCATGAAGCTCTGAGTTCGATTCCTCAGCACCACATAAGCAAAAAGAAAAAAGCTGGAAGTGGTATTGTGGCTCAAATGTCATAGAATGCTAGCCTTGAGTTGAAGAGCTGAGGGACAGCGCCCAGGCCCAGAGTTCAGGCCCCATGACCGGACCCCCCAAAAAAATAAATTATCAGAGAAGGGGCTGGTAAGTTGGCTCAGTGGTAGAGTGCTTGCCTTGCATGCATGAGGCCCTGGGTTCGATTCCTCAGCACCACATAAACAGAAAAAGACAGAAGTGGTGCTGTGGCTCAAGTGTCGTAGAGCTGAAGAGCTGAGGGACAGCGCCCAGGCCCCGAGTTCAGGCCCCATGACCACCCCCCAAAAAAAAATCAGAGAAAAAAAAAAAGGACTAGAAGTATGGGTCGAGTCCTGAATTTTAAACCTTAGTACTGCCCTTCCCCCAAAAAGAAAGTACCATTCTAGGGATAGCCTCACCAGCAGAGGGAGCCAAGCAAAGACCACTTGGAGACACAGCATCTCCCAGGAGTGGGGCAGTCAGGGCAGAGCCAATGCGCAGGCATCAACCTGGAGGATGCTAGAGACAGTGTGGAACCCATGCAGCTAGAACTGAAGGAGCCAAAGAAAATGGCAGAGGGAATCAAATTGTAGAATTTTGTCTGGCAAAGGTGGGAGGAGATGTTTAGGTTTTGTGTTTTTTTGTTTTTGTTTTTTTTGTCGGTCATGGGGCCTGAACTCTGGGCTTGGGCGCTGTCCCTCAGCTCTTCAGCTCAAGGCTAACACTCTACCACTTGAGCCACAGCGCCACTTCCTGCTTTTTTCTTTTTGCTTATGTGGTGCTGAGGAATTGAACCCAGGGCCTCAGGCATGCAAGGCAAGCACTCTACCACTTAGCCACCTTCCCAGCCCCTGTTCATATCTTACAGCTCATGGATGTAATCCTAGCTACTCAGGAGGCTGAGATCTGAGGATCAAGGTTCAAAGTCAGCCTGGGCAGGAAAGTCCGTGAGACCCTTATCTCCAATAAACTACTCAGGAAAAGCCGGACGTGTGGCTCAGATGGCAAAGCACTAGCCTTAAGCTGAAGAGCTGAGGGACAGCACCCAGGCCCAGCGTTCAAAGCCCCACGACCAACCAAAAAAGAAAAAAAGAACAAGTACTAAATTCAGATTCCTACTACTAGATATGAGATTCTCAGTAAGGCAACTGGCCCCTCTGGGTCTATCCTTCCAGAGCAAGGTTACCTTGGTGGGCCCCTGGGTTCGGTAGCCTGTTATCATCACCCTTGCCACATCCAAGCTCTCAATTCACTTTTCTCTTCCCCCTGATACAGCCCAATATGGCTGAGGCCCTGCAACATGCCCCTCTCTGATAGTCCAGGGTTCCCAAGGCCAGCATAAGCCAGGCTTTACCACAAAGGCAGTGCCCTACACTCCTCTATAACACCCTTCTTCAGACCAGTCAAGTCAAAGAAACACTCAGCCTGCAAAAGGACCCCAGTCTTTTTTTTCTTTGTGTGTGTGTGTGTGTGTGTGTGTGTGTGTGTGAAAATACTGTACAGAGGGGTTACAATTACATGGGCAAGATAAAAGGACCCCAATCTTATAATCACTAGAATCTTGTTTTGAATTTTTTTTTTTTTTGTCGGTCGTGGGGCTTGAACTCTGGGCCTGGGCGCTGTCCTTCAGCTCTTCAGCTCAAGGCAAGCGCTCTACCACTTGAGCTACAGCGCCACTTCCGGTTTTCTAGTGGTTTATTGGAGATAGGAGTCTCACGGTCTTTCCTGCCTGGTCTGGCTTTGAAGCACGATTCTCAGATCTCAGCCTCCTGAGTAGCTAGGATTACAGGCGTGAGCCACCGGCGCCCGGCTTGTTTTGAAATTTTTTAGTCAACCAACTTGTATTCATTATGTAACACAAATTCATTTCCTGGGCTTATTAATCAGACACACACAAAAAAAAGACAGTTGAAGGTTCGGAACATGAACAACCCCAAAACTAGGTGGGGAAGGAGGGGAGGCACATTGGGACTGGGTTCCCTGCACAAACTGGCCTGGGCATTTCCTCCCACCCAACTCAACACCCTCTGCTTCTCCAGTGTCTTGAGAGACTGGCTCTGCACCTCATGAAGGGATCAGGACCTGTCTCCTAGTCCAGCTTCTAGTGGTGGCCCTGGGTACCAGCCTCGCCCATATGCCTCAACACAGTGTCCAGTCTTTGGCCTTTAAGTCCTCAGTTCCTACTCCAGCCCCTGAATCAGATTTCTTTCTTGGATCTGCGCCTACTAAAAGCAGATTTCTATGGCCGGGCTGCCCTCTAGCCTCTGGCCAAACTCAGTCTGAGTTCAACATGGAAGATTCTGCCTAGAGTGACTGGCCAAGACTACAGCTGAGGTCAGAGAAAGGCTATCACTGTTCCCGCCCCTTCCTACAGGCAGCTTCAGCAGGGCTCTCATCCTCGGCCAACCCCTGGAACTCCCATCCACACAGCTATCTTTGATACTCAGTCCCCACAGCCCTGTCTATCATCCCTGTAACTGTTATTTAGGTTTTTATCACTCACACAGGCTACTTTTCTGAAGCTCTGGCCCACTTTGCCTACCTCTCTGCTCTGCCCTGTCCAAATCCTGACCATGACCCTAAAAGAACTGCACAATCAAGCAACCCTGGCCTAGTCAGCTCCCACCACAAGGCTGTCCTTTCTCTGTACTCAGGAGCATCTAAGTGACCTCAGGCTCCCCACTCCAGCCTTGCCACAAGTGGCCCTCATGGCTGCGGGGCCCTCTAGAAATGTACTAATAACACCTGGCTCAACCTCCCCAGGGTTTCTGGGACAAACTGGCAATTCTGTCTATTTAAAAATGTTAAAATTAGAGCCGGGCACCGGTGGCTCATGCCTGTCATTCTAGCTACTCAGGAGGCTGAGATCTGAGAATCACGGTTCAAAGCCAGCCCTGGCAGGAAAGTCTGTGAGACTTTTATCTCCAATAAACCACTAGAAAACCGGAAGTGGCACTGTGGCTCAAGTGATAGAGCACTAGCCTTGATTGAGCTGAAGAGCTGAGGGACAGCGCCCAAGCCCAGAGTTCAAGCCCCATGACCAACAACAACAAAAAAAAGTTATGTTGAGTTGCTGACAAATGTAGCTCTGAAACACTGTGTAGATCCCTGAAAACACGAAGTAACGCCTCATCTGTGGATCCACCCAGAAGATTCCACCCAAACATCACCTCTGCTTTGAAGCCCTCTCTGAATCCTTCAGGGAACTCAAGAGAGCTCCTCACAAAGCCTCTGCGGAAGCACAGACCAGTGTACCCTCCACAGCTGCTGTGGGGAGCCAGCACCAAGTCCAGCATGGAGTAACCTAATTAGCAGCCACTCATCTCAGACTCTGACTCCAGCACAAGCTTTCCTACCATCTCAACTTCACCCCAAGGTCCAAATTGTCCCTGGCGCCTCCAGTTCTTAGACCAGCACCTCACCACCCTTCCTGTAGGAGTGTACAGGACTAGCTCCTGTTCAACAGGTGTGGAGTCCACATACCTCTCTATTCCCTCCTTTCACCCTGACAGGCCTAAGGCCAAAACCCTGACATCATTTCCCACTCCATCTACTACTTTCCACAGGCAGAGAACAAGGAAGCCCAGACCCTTCCATGTTCCACGCCACCACCACTGGAGCAGGACAAGGGTCTACCAGGTAAGGGAGCAAGTCACCTGGCCAGCAGTAGGTCAGCAGCCAAACTCACATGTCCTTGGGTCTCTACCAAATTTGGCACAGGACATGGGTTCTGGGTCACACATGGGTCCTGGGTCACACATGGATGGGCTCCACTGGGAAGCTGTCAATCCAATGTGAGGAAATACCAACTCTGAACCCAAATCCTCCAGGTACAGAGAAACACATGCACTGTGACTCAACACATCACTGGTGACCACTTATGACCACCACTCAGGAGAGCTTCATTTATCACACCTACTCTGTGGGCCAGAAGTAAAACTCATGGGACCTAGGGCTTTCTAGCATCCTTGAAGGCTCCTACTAAAGGCTACATCCTAGATAATATAGCCAGCTCACGCAGTGGGCTCCGGCACCGAGGGGTCCTACCTAGAAACCCAGCTGCTCAGCAGGGTTAAATGAAGGCTGCTAACCAGCCTCAGGAGTTGAAGCCTTCAACTTCACATCCTCTCTGCCTGACTAAAGACAGGGGCCATCCCTCAACAGCCCTCAGACTATCCCAGCCCCAGGGTACCTATAACTACCCCTTGGGGCCCAGCTGGCCTCATTTCCTCTTGGCTGGTCCAGCCCTCCTGCTCTGCCCACTTGGACAATCTGTCCACTTTGGAAAAATGCCTCTTTTCTCACACTGACCTCCTTATTTGTCTGCCAGTCACACATGAATCGCAAGCTCCAAGCACCTGGTATTTCTGTGAAGACTATGCTAAAACAGTGGTCACAAGCACTGGAATCACGTGTGGAAACAGAGGACATTCACGATTGTGTACCTCCTGTGAGCATGTCACAAGTTCTCCAACATATGTGAAGTTTTGTTCAGAACTACATGTGTCACGAATACACACCACGTATGTGTCATATGCACAGGTGTGTGTTTAGGTGTGTCTGAGTTTACTTCTTGTCTTTTCTCTGTGAGCACCCAGATTTACGCCAAGAAAAACCAACGGGAAGCCAAAGGGTGTACACCTCAGGAGGTGCCTAGGAAGGAGTCTGGGGTCACTCACCAGGCCTGGCGTCATACTGTCGCATCTGCACCTCCTCCACACAGTCAGCTGGGAACCAGCCTGTACGGCCTTTCACGGTCCCCTCCCAGAATCCGCCCTCCCCGATGCTGAGCACTGGGGAACAAAAGCCAGACAGGCCATTAGGGTAAAGCAAGGAGCCGCAGGTCACCTCCCTTCCATTTCTGGCTCAGGTTCTGCAGGTTACCCCACCACCACCACCCTTCCATTTCAGGCTCAGGTTCTGCCCTAACCCTTGCTCTCCATCCCTTCCCACATTCGCCTAGCTTTCTTCTTGGGAAGACTGTGGAATCCACGCAGAAAAGGCAAGCAAACAGATGGGCTGGGCATGGAATGGGCATGCAGGGGACAGAGATACAGATGGACATACTCAAGGAGGACGGGAGCAGCTGCAGGAGCCACAATCCTGCTCCTGCCCCCAGTGGCCACTCTCTGATAGCTGTCACCCACCCAAGGGCCACCGCCAAGAGCTCAGGGTCACTGCACGGTGGCCAGAGGAGTAAGCCACAAGATACACCTGCTTCCACCTCAGGCTCCCATGGAAACAGAGCGCCTGGGCAGGACCCGGGTGATTACAAAATGAGGGGCTTGTGCCTTCAGCAGGCCGGCCGCACGGGCGGGAGGGATGTGCACAGCACCCGTGGGCACAGTCACTGTCACAGCTCTCCCCCGCGGCGGCACCCCGGCCCCAGGGTGTCCAGCGGAGAAGCCCAAGAAGTGACACAAGAGCCCCGCGGCGGGGCCGGACACGGGGCCGGGTGGCGCTGGCCCCCAGCATGACACAGAAACGTCTGTAGCGACAGCCAGGGGCGCAGGTGCCGGCGGC